TTGGAAGCACACTTTTCGCAAGCACGGAAAAAGCAATCAGTTGTTCTGGTAGAAATATTACAAAGCTTTTTTTCTATTATTGCATCTTGTGACATAATTCTTAAACTGTTGATCATTAATTTTACATTTTCATGAATTGTACAAATACATACATAATGTATACCAGTAGAATCAAGCAAAATGCAATGTTTTGGTCGCATTTGTGTAAATACAGTGAAACCAATATTAATATCTTTATATTTATCAACAAAAATCATGTACGCTTCTTTGAGGGACATCATTAACAGGCGTTTTTGAACGTGTTCTTTTCGTCCATTTCTGAACTCGGAAACAAAATCATTTGTTCCAGGCATAGGTCTAATAATATCATTGTCATCAAAAAATGCCCTAACTAGTTTTTTTTTTGTATCATCGTTGATCCCATGCCCACTTCTTTTGTAGGGTGTGCTAAGAATACCCTGCTCATTAACAAGGCTCTTCACCTGCCTATCCATGTACGTTGGTGCGTTGAATTCTGCTACAACTTTATTCACGGACCAAGACTTTGGCAATACTGATAATACTGTTATCTGATCTTTTCTGTCAGCTGTAGGGGAATTGAACTTCTCCTTTAGCTGCACAATCATTTCTTCGTATGCCTCTACTTTGCTAACGTCTGCTGTATCTAGGCCAAATATATTTTTTCGCACTGCTTGTGTAATTTCTAGAGATTTTATTGAACGATAATCCATGCTCCTCATGTTCCTCGATGAAATTGGAGATAAATTCAACGTTTCCACAAAGCCATTAAACTTCTCAACATTGTATGGGCGTTGCAGATCATCTGCTGATGGAACTGACTCCAATGATGGAACCGATGGTACCGTATCTGAAGGAAAGAAGAAGAAAAAATAATTAATAAGTGCAATTAGGAGGTTGCAGTTAAAAGTTGATAGAATCCTCAGGATGACTGTTCTTACCTAGCTCATCTACGGATTGATGGCCACTCATTGATGGATCTGGCTCATCACTATGCTGCTGCCCACTAGTTGACGGTTGGATATTTACTTCATTTCCAACCGATCGGCGTTTTTTCATAACTGGACTTCTATTATGAGATATCACGCTACGGCATGACTCACAAATGCTCATCGTTTCATCAATTTCGTGGTGGTTATATCAACAATCAATACGAAACTAACGATTTTAAATTTGCTCACTACTTGACTAGCCTATTGGTCCCAAGCAAATCGATTAACGTACCCCATTATGTACTACACTATGTTTGTTTTGATTCGCTATGAAAGTTTGACAGATAAAATGAGAGGTTATAGGATTTTCCTATGTTTCGAGGGGTGAATCGATTAGCTTGGGACCGAAGAGAGTACCAGAGCTGAGCCAAAAAGTTGAGCACGTTATTTCGGGACCTTCTAGTCTTAGAGTTACCTCTATGGTTATATCCCATAGAATGTATTTTTTCTACCATCGTTGACGAACCGCATAAACAATAACCATAAGATGCGCCTAACCACCAATTCGGGATATCATCCCAATTTTATGTGGTATGGTCGCACCATCTAAGATATCGTCAGTATACGGTACACGTTTATTAGAGGATATGGCCCGTAACTTATTTCGGTTGCATCTCGGATTATTTATATTTGCACAACATTTCAATCCTTTGAGCATTAATTTACTACTTTGGTCCATGATAATAATTTTACTACAACTTGTCTTCACAACTTTCGTTATCAGATTGACTGCTGCTTGTATGAAATCAACCTTAGTTTTATAGTGCTCATAGGTAGAATTAAGTGGTAGGTATATAATGTTAATGGTTTAGGTATAAATAACAGAAGGGCATATAGAATTATGATACGATACGTTGACTTCCCAAATCGTTGTTGATTCGAAAGAAGATCTCAATTTAAATTTTATTCATACCTAATTCTTTATGGATAATTTGAGCTAAGAATTCTAAGTTGCAATAGGAGTATCGCATTTTGCCTCATTAGTAGACAATATATATCATTATATTTATATTATATTAGTAGACAATATATATCATTATATCATTAGAAAATAATATAATTGATTATATAATCAATTATATTATTTTCTAATGATATAAGCCCTTTTCATATGGAATTCTCGATTAATCCAAGTGATTAGTTGCTGATTAGACAAAATTGAATCACAAATGGAGCTTCATTGGGTTCTGAGATGATTTTGTGCTTCACTGGTTTAGTTTTGTGTGAAAATGGCAAATAAAAAAAAATCACTTCAGACATGAAAAAGTTTTTGTAAGAAAAACTTTTTTTTCCTTAAAAGTGCCCATCTCGCAATGTATCGACGGATGGTAGTAAACATAATTACCTATCTTGAGGCAAAGTTTCATTCAAATCAAACATGACCATTTTTTTTAAATCGACTTTAAAATTTAAAAATCGATTTTTTTCAGCGTAAGTCCCAAATGAAATTTTTTTCAGTTTTTTTTTTCGATAATTTGGTCAATTTCTTAAAAGTCATCCATACAATATATTTTTGTTGGAGTTGTCATTTTTCCATAATATTTTTTAGAAAAAAATCGGCAGAAAAAGTTTGGCCCTTCTTAAATGTTAGTCTAGATAAATTTTGGAAAAACTGAGTATGCAAAAGTGTTTATTTAGTCAAAGTCTACACATCCAGAAAATTTTATTGAAATCTGAGAGGGTGCTGCCAGCTTCGATTCGATTTGGCGCGAAATGCGTCATTCGCGACATTTCTACAAAACCAGCCGAATCGTGGTTCGTGGCCGTGCAGGCATCCATGAATCCCGCCTGGCATGGCCCCACGAACTCTTTTGCTATCGTCCATAGACAGCGGCATAGTATTGGAGAGATAACCCTGTAGGCGGCACTCAGAAGTGTGATCGCGCAGTAATTGCTGCTATTTAATTAGGTCATATGACCTTCAAGTGGCTTTATGGCTCTTAGTGGCTTTATCCAACTGGCTTCATTATTTGCGGGGTGAGAAGGTACTTCGGACTACCACCCCATTGTTGTTCGGTTCGATTACCGGCTTGTACATTACCTCACGTCCTACCTGAGCGTTTATGCCGCAGATGATACTTTTCCATATTTTCTAAGAGGGGTTCCTGCAGTTCCTGCAGCGCAACGACTTTGAAGTTGCGGAGTTAAAGCCCGTCGAAGATTATTTGTTATTAATTCTGGGCATATTCCAACTCGGCTCAGGACCAACGTGCACAGCTCTATCCCTTCCCTGACAGCATACGACCAAGGTTCCACAGGGGTTAGTTACGCATCTGTATGGTTACTACAACCCTGGCCGGCAAGGCAATCACGGGGAGGTAGGGATAGGACTACTGGATAAGAGACTAAGAATTGCTACCGAACGGTAACATTTGTTTTTTTTTTATATATAAGTGTTGTAAGCGGTCACTTTAGTCGACGAATTTTCTATGATAAATGACTGCCTTTGCTTCCGACACATGCAAAACAAGCTATCAAAGTTTAGTACCAAACTAAAATATCATAACACAATCTCTGTCATACGACATTGTTTGTACACAAAAAAAAAACAACGAACATGTTACAGTACCTTACGGTATCAAAATGAACAAAGGGGTCTAAAATTGTGAATGATTTTATAATAAAAATAATTGTTTGTGCAACTGTCCACTAAGTGTGTACCTACCTCGAGACTTACCCTACCAGCCTTACTGATGTATACTAGACAAACTTGCCCTCCCTATTGCATAAATAACACCTGTTTTTGTTTCCTTCATAAATATGTGTCCCTTCTGATTGAGGACATGGACCGATGAGGGAATCTTCTTTTTCGCGTACATATACACACCAGTGTGCTTGTCAAGGCCCAGTTCAGCAGGGATCTCTCCCGAACGATACGCTCCACTTTTCCGTATTTCCCCAACACCAACGCTAGAGCATTATTCGGGACCTCCGGTGGTGACATACGTACCTTCATTGACTTTCCATCCGCATAATGGAAAATTAATTCAACACTGTTGTTACTTAGTGCATAACGCGCAGACTCCTCTGACTTAAACTTGATGAATAAAGCTTTCTGCTCTGATACCTGAAAACTTGCTTCCATCGCAGCGAAGTGTCTTGGTGAGATTGGCAATTTCGCCCAAGGACGGTTTCGCACTTCCATTTTCGAAGTCAATACAAACGGTTATTCGGCGTTTCGAGTTCACCGTCGTCCATGCTCCTCCCGTGTGCAACCATTCAGCGTTCGCCCTCACCTCGGTAACTTTCCGTCGAGAGCGGCCACATCCTCTACTAAGTCAAAATGTTGTGTCACAAGACCACTATTGTCCATAGCCTCAAACAGACTGGATACCCTGCTTCAGCCTTACCAACGCCGCCGACACCTACCGTATCGGTGGCTTTCCGTCGATAGCGGCCACATCCCTTACTAGGTCGAGATTCGGTGCCACGACACCATCACCATCCGCAGTCTCCAACATACTAGGTATCTAGCTAAAACCTTGTAAGCTGAAGTTTTTTTTTATTATTTTAAGATCCAAAAAGTCGTCATAATAAGTGTTGTGTGTAATTAAAATGCCAAAAATTTATACCAGATCCCTAATTCCCTTTCAGTGAACCGAAAAGAACTTTAACCCCAGCCACATACAGCTTACAGTCGCAATGTTATACAATGGTGTTTATCGCAATTGATGTGGTACAATCATCTTTATCACCCTGTGATGCTATTTAAAACCCGTTTTCGGTCACTAATCAAAGCAATTCATCATGCAAGTACAGTGCAACGATATGTGATTTGTATGTGGATTTTGGCCATTAAAAAGCGTTATATGACATTGTACCGAACATAAATCTCGTACTTAATTCGTAGATAAGGATATGGAAGATTACAAAAGGTTAACGATAGAATTGTTGTGTTATCTTTACAGCGCTATCACAGCTGGGGGTAAGAGGGCGTTAAGCGTTGAGACCAAAAGGAACCAAACTGCACTGTAGATTAACCGCCAAATTGATTTTGACAGTGATCAGCATAACGTACAGTTGAGAAGTTGAAAGTCAATCCAAAGCTGGAGAAACATGTGTTGCTGCTGCAACTGTTCCAACACCGCCAAGAAGGTTTGGTCCTTCATGGGTGTGGTGTTAATCTTTGGTCTTGCAGCGTTTTTCGGTTTCGGATGGCCAGCGATTGTAGATTCCGTGGCAAGAAGTGTGAGTACTAAATAAGTTCAGTGATGTCTCTATTCGTGTTATATTACAAATTTTTGCTTCAGGAATTTGTGATGGAGCCTGGTACCGAAGTGTACGAAAATTGGATGGAATCTACAGTGCCAATGTATTTCGACTTTTACTTATGGGATTGGACGAATCCCGAAGAAATCACTAATCCGAATGTTCGACCGAACTTTGTCCAAAAGGGACCATATGTCTTCAGTGAGACTCAGGAACGAGTGAATCACACTTTCAACAACGATCATACCATCACCTTCCAACAGAAGCGAGTTTGGCACTATATTCCAGAGCAATCGACTGGAGACTTCCACACTGACAGAGTCACCACGCCGCATATGATGTTGATGGTAGGTATTCATTGCTAATGATCTGTTCTGGTGTACTAACGAGATCATTTCCCCAGACTGTCGGAAAAGTGGTTCAACATGATCCTGCATTTAATTTTCTCTTGAATACGTTACTCAACAATAATGATCTAGTAGATGGCATCGCCTACGAAAATGTCCTGGTTAAGGATATCCTATTCGACGGAACTGAAGATAGATTGTTGGCAGCTCTCATAAACCTAGCAGAAGCAGTACCTGAATTAACAGAAGGCCTGGACATACCCCAATGGGATGGATTTGGATACTTTATTGAGCGTAATACCAGTGCAGAGTACGATGGAATTTTCCGTATGAATACTGGCACAGACATGTGGACAAATACTGGAGAGATGCGAACTTGGAACGGAGAGCCAATAGTTCCACATTATCGTGGACTATGCGGACGAGTGCGGGGTTCAACTGGTGCAGTTAATGCTCCGATGACCAGTGCGCAGACAAGAAATCCTCCAGACTTTAACCTGTTCATTACCGATTTATGCAAAGCCATAACCTTGAAGTATGAAGGTGACTTTGTATTGAATGGCCTCGAAGGAAAACTTTGGGTGGGCGATAATAGAGTCTTCGATAACGGCCACAACTTCCCAGAAACCGAGTGCCAATGTACCGCTGCTGTTGACGAGTGTCCTGTTCTTGCTCCTGGTGTGCTAGATGTATCAGGATGTAAGTTTGGTTCACCACTTTTGGTTAGCTTCCCACACTTTTATCTAGCTGATCCTAGCTACTTGAATGCTGTGACAGGACTAAGTCCTATGCGTCAAGCACACGAGTTCCGTTACGCCATCCATCCATTCTCGGGTATTCCAATGACCGTCAACGGAAGACTACAGTACAATGTACATGTGAAGGACTATGGATTGGAGTGAGTTACGGTTTTGTTGTTGTTGTAGTTGTTGTCATATCAATATTAATTCGTATTCTGCTATTTCAGTATTACTAACGGTTTACCTGATATTGTTATACCCGCATTCTGGGTTGAGCAAAGAGTAGTTCTAACTCAAGATGTAATCGATGATCTACAGGTAAGTCGGTGTTAGAAAGTTTAGATTACTTCCGCTATTCGCATAACGGTCCCACGTTCTGTGGAATTCCTATATAATGGTAGTTAAGGCCTCCCGATAGCGTAGTTAGTATAGCACAGTGTCTTTGATCAATAACTTTAATTTAAAAAAAATTCGTCATTCACGAAATTTTCTGCATTCAAACTAGGGAATTTTTCCCGTCATTTTCACATTATTAGGGGAAACGCTCCTATAGTTGCGTTACGTTAGAAGCGTTAGGTTCCTATAGTTGTGCATGGAGACACAATACACAACTATAGGAACCTAACGCTTCTAACTTACCGCAACTATCGGAGCGTTCACCCTACTTAAGTCTGGAACAATTTTTTTTATTTTTTTTTCATACAGGATCAGAAAAAAAAATATCTATTGAAATAAACGCTCAAATTGACCTATGTTTTGCATGAAAAACTGTCCCCAATAAAAAATAAGTACCTAGTAGTTTCAAAATGACGGGAAAAGTGCCCTGTTTTGAACAGTGAAGGTTTCGTGAATGCCGATTTTTGTTTTGTTTTCAAATTATTCTTGAAAGGCATATAGGCGCTCAAATAAGACTAAGTTGAGGGCACAAATTCCAATTGGGACTTACGAGCCGAAAAATAGTTCTATGTAAATAGCATAGAGGTTTGAAAGGCTTGCCGTCGCTTGATTTTACAACAGTAGATTTGTTAGATTAATTCACAGCAAAACTGGAAGAGTTTACTTGAACAGTATTTCGTAATTACACAAGTGAACTAATCAGTTTTATGGTCTTCGTTTGCTTCTATATAAATAAACTTCAGTTTAAGCTGATATTTACAACTGATAGACTCCGAGCTTCACTAATCTTGAATCGCTTATCACCAACAGTACATCGATACGCTACGGTCAGCAGGAATCTACACCGCGTACGCACTTCTCGGCTTAGGAGTGCTGATGTTTGGAGTGGCGCTCTACTTCTCCATTTTCGTTTGGAAAAACTGATGAGTTCGATCTAGCAATCACATGACATGGTTACCAGCAAACACTGTTTTAGGTTTAAGTCTAGGGTTGGTTGTAAATAAAAAGTACAATTATTTTCACAATAAAATTTTCTATTCTTATAGTAAATAATTTAGAGAAATAAAAGTTCAAAGTCTTAAGATGCATTGTTGCATTGTGGTGTAAAAATGTCTTGTATTATAGTTTTTTTTTTCAGATGATAAGAAAATGTTACTTTCTCTCATCATTCGCAGATTGATTTATGGCGTACAGTGCGCGTGTGTGTGTGTGTGTGTGTGTGTGTGTGTGTGTGTGTGTGTGTGTGTGTGTGTGTGTGTGTGTGTGTGTGTGTGTGTGTGTGTGTGTGTGTGTGTGTGTGTGTGTGTGTGTGTGTGTGTGTGTGTGTGTGTGTGTGTGTGTGTGTGTGTGTGTGTGTGTGTGTGTGTGTGTGTGCCGGGGCCGTTGTACAAGTAGAACTGCGAATAATTTGATCAAATCTCATGCTCCGTAATGGTGTCCTTTATGTTGTGAAGACTAGTACTTCAAAAAGGGGTAACTTTTGAGGCAAGACATGGTGTCCTCAACAAGTTAAGGGAACAGGATGCACTAGATGTCCACAACAGGTACAGCAAAACATCACATAGACGCCCTTATTCACACTAACTACTCAGGGGGTAGAAGGTCAAGAAGAGCCACCGCCGCCAACTAAAGCTTGAACCGGGTACCTGGGACTCCCACGATATATCCGCGGCAATGGTCAGCAGACGATGCCCTGTGCGTATTTAGTATTTAATATGTTTTATTTGGATACATAAAATGTTTGAAGCCATGCGTCATCTAAACCATAATTTGCATCACCACAAATACACTTTTCAACAGTCTTCAACTGGAACGTCCCAACAAACAATTCACAGTCATAAATAAGCATACACATTGAATAAATTCTGTATAACAGTGTACAATGCTGAATAAAACAGGATGTCGAATTATGTGCTGAAAAAAGCTCATTGAGATCGATAGATGCACCTTTATTCCGCCGTTTGCTCTAATATGATTAATTTACTTATTAAAAGCTTTATAAACGTTGACTGTCTTCCTGATTCAGAACCAGAAGTTTGATCTAATAACAAACTGAATAAGTGTAATTTGCGCATACATTGTCGCTTTAATTTGACTGTTTTCAATTGCTTTAATAAAATACTTTATTAAACGTCTTATAAATGTTTTCTAGCTCCATTATTAGATTTCATTGCATTGCTTAACAATATTGCTGAATAAAGGTGAATAAAGTCAGTATAATAGCTCTTATACCACTATGCGTCCATGTTTTAATTGCATGCTTTGTAAATGCTTCACAAACGGCGTATTCATTCATTATTCCACAACACTCTTTCAGGTTAACAACAAACCGAAATTGGTAGCATAGTGGTTACCGTTTCCGCTTTCCAAGTAGAAGGTCGTGAGTTCAATCCCAACCTCAACCCTTTTTTAATTTATTTTCTACGCCTAATTAATTTAAATCGTAATCATAAAGCGTATCGCTCACGACAACCAATTCATAGATCTATCGAAAAGAATAGCATCCTTTCCATCGAAATTAGAGAGATGGAGAGGTAACGTTGGTCTCATGTAGAACAACTATGAATGAATTATTCATTCTCACATCTCCTTGAATTAGCTAGAGTTACGGCTGGAAGTGCTGATAGGTTTTCAGATTCAAGCTTTTATTGCTTATTTAGCTGCCTAAATGATGTAATCTAGGATAGCTCAGATGGCAACGCAAGCGGCTGGTGATCGGATGGTCATGGTTCGAATCCCATATAACGACATGTGTGTGTGTATGTATGTATGTAATAAATTTTCTATATGTGTGGTGGGTGCGTGCTTCGACAGAAATAAATGACACAACAATCACTAACGAGAACACAACTCTGCTCTTCTGTGCCGTTTTCATTTTCGGATTAATTTTCCCGTAGTTGAATAATCGTTTAATTAAATGTATAATGTGTCTTATTAAACATTATTTCACATGAGAATCAAGCGTCTATATACACCTTTATACCATCGCTGTTTAAGGAAGGAATGATGTCTAATAAACGCTGAATAATCAAAAATTTGATCGAATAAGCTCTGTTACAACTCTTGTAAGTCGAATAAAAGCTTCTCGACACACCTTATTCAACACCAAATATTTCGATGTTGTGGTTGAATAAATTCTCCAGATTTGTGTGAACAAAGCCTGATCACAAGTTATTATTAAAAATAGTACAAGTATTATTAAGCATGAAGTGGAATAAAATCGTCAAGAAGTCGTTTCTTCAATAGGCAATTGTTTGTTGGGGTACTCCACCAAATCACTACACCCGGGAGCGCATTCCCGATGCTTTCACGCATATTTTTCTCTAGTCATCCCTAAATAATTCCTCCTCCACCGACTCCAACCACACAACAACCAGATTGATTTATGGCGTACAGTGTATCGCCAAATTAAGCGTATCTTTTTTGAAAGATTGTGAAAAGGTAGAATTTTTAATTTTTGGCTTGTGATAGAAAAACTCAGTGCCAAAATTTCAAATTTCATTTGCGAGAAATCGACGGCTAAAGCCATTGTTCACAAAATCAATTACGCATCTTTGAAATATTGGCACTGAACTTTGGGAAATGGCTGTAATGTTGGCCTATGGATCTATGATTGGGCCCATAGCTAAAAATCTGCTATTTATCAATTTTATCCAGATAAACGCGTCATTGGGGCGGTACTAATGGATATTTTTGGTCGCTATTGAAAATTTAGTCGATTGCAGAATTTATGTATGGGCCCAAATTAGGAGCATTTAGGCCGACATTACATCCATTTCCCCCTGTCTATTGATTTATCGGTATCCATATTTCTCGCGTCACTTTTCAATAGACATTGATCGATTCTCCGTGTTAAGATATTACCGGATATTTTTGACACACAATTGAATGGAAGAAGCAACAATCTAGCATCTAATAGGACAAAGACGACAGGAAACGTTTTTGTAGCCGGGTTATTTATGAAAGAGAGAGTCGATGAAGAGAATCGATCAATGAAAATTGGTTTATTCGTTATAAGTCAGGTAACACAGTAGCTACCAAGCATATCAGGCGTAACATTTGATAACGGCACAAAATTTTTTGTAAACAAACTTTTTAAGGCAATATCACCTTTCCGAAAGTGATATTGGTTTGCGTGGGCGTACTCTGGTTCGCGTGTAAAGTGGTCTTAGAATGTTTGTTTACAAATGCTTTTGTGCCGTTATCAAATGTTATGCCTGATATTTATGTATTATCCAGATGACGCAATATGAACACGGATATTTTTATCGATGGGCCCATATGATCCATAGGAAAATAATCAGGTTAATAATGTTTCTTGTTAATATTAACTATTGGATGCTGTATAATGAGCAATATCTTCGGCAAGTTGTACGGATTTGTGAAATTCTTCTCAAACTTTTAGGATGAGACATAAGAAAAGTCTCCAACTGAGCGGGGTTTGGAATATAACCCATTAGACTGATGCAAAATTTGACTTTTTCGCTCTACAGTGCTTAAATGACTTCAAATCGGGTCGTGATTAGCCTCCAAAAGTTACAACTCATTTGGTTAGAAACAGACTTCGCACAAACCATTTGAAGTTTACATGTTAATTACTATGGGAAATCTTAACTTTTTGTTCATTGCCTTCTAATTATTTTCCATATTGAGATGCGAAACAGCTCGATAGCTATTTTTATAGAAAATTTTCTCAGCTACAACTTTGCTGAAGATCGTTTCTATGTAAAACGAGACAGAAAATAGTTATTAATTATTTAAGAGATTGGTAAACTTATGACATGATCAAGCAGCTGCTCCGTAGGCAACACTGTATTTTGCATTAATAGGAACACTTTTCCAGTGGTTGCGGTAGTTGAACACCGAGAATTTATTGTTTTTTCATTGTTTTGTTTTCCGTCGATCTTGTTTTCCGTCGATCTTGTTTTCCGTACTGAGTACCCATCAACTCATGGACCGAGGACCAACGGTTTTACTCTCTTCCGAAGGAAGGCGTGCGTGATAGAGATTTTATGCCTCAGAAAATCCTGGCGGCGCCGACTGCGATTGAACCCAGGGCTTTTGAGGTGAGAGGCAATCACGCTTACCCTTACACCACCGGCGCCGCTAGTTGTGTTCGATATTTTTTATCGAAATAACTAACAACGAGCTCAATAACAAAACATGTACCGTATGCGTGATAATGTTTGCACCAACGTACAAATAAGGTTCCCGTTTCACCTGTGCACCTGTGGTTTTCTTCGAGGGGGACGACTCTATCTACGATGCAGAAAAGATTGTGTTTTGCTGTGACTAGCTGTGCGCACGCTGAGTAGACAGAAAGAAGATTGATGACGATTCTGAAGATTTCCTGCAAAAAGATGCTGCACGATGCAAGTAGATGCGCCAAATAAAAGAAGATTTTTCGAAGATTGATTCGCTGGTGTGAGATTTGTTGAGCATCTAAACTTGAGATTTGGATGTGTCGCCCCCCTCGGTTTTCTTTGCATGCACGTAACCTATAGCTCATACCGTAGTAGCAACAATAAATACGAAACTAACGATTTTAAATAGGCTCACCACTTTAGTAGCCTATTGGTCCCAAGCAAACGATTAACGTACCCTATTCTAGTTGAAATTCTATTACTACACTATGTTTGTTTTGATTCGCTATGAAAGTTTGACAGATAACATCAGGGGTGTGTGGATTCATGCAGAACATGCAGGGGTGAGTGAAATAGCTTGGGACTGCTTGGGACCGTTGTTCTGGTACTGAGTGAGCCAAAAATAATAATGATTTTCTTCGGGACCCAGTGGTCTTAGAGTTACCTCTATGGTAGTAGGCTGCGTATAAAATAAAATGATTTACTTAGTGTAACAGTTGCACCATGATGAAGTGGCAGCGTATTCGTGATTTGTCCCACGCGCAAATGTCGCAAAAAGACATTTCAATCGCCGTGGGAGTGTCCCGGTGGACCGTCAAAAGGGTTTTAGACCGAGAAAAGATAGGACAACTATCCGCGAAGGTGGCCACA